TCGGTACTAGAATCCACTGATTTTTACCAGTTCTCGAACTCGCTATCATTGGTTCAATACTGGTTTCTGCTATGATTTGATCATTACTTGTATCCACTATCTTTTATCGGTACAACGGAGGAAGTGGCACACCCTCTGAAGGTCGGTGAACACAACTCCAACAGGGTGCCGTGTGATGCATATAAAGAAATAAAAATACATAGAAATAAAAAAAATTGGAAACATGAAATTTTAAAACACCAAAATTTTTTAAATGTTAGATTGTAATTTTTTTCAAAGCATTTCAAATACTTAAAATTTAATTTTTTTTATTGCCTTATTACAATTTTTTCATATATATATATATATATATATATATTTTAAGCCTTGTCTATTCTTTTTGATTATATGCTTTGATTTAAATGCTTGTGTACATCTTTTATTAATAAAATATTTGTTATATATTTATTATATAATAATTATATAAAATATTTACTTATAATTTATATTATATCAATAACATTGCATAATATTCATTATAAAATATTTATAATATAAAATATTTGTATTTTGTTAGAAAAAAATTATTTGAATAAGCCTTAAAACTAATTATTTGATAAAGTTGATTTGATTTAAAAATAAAATCATCTGGTTCTTTGAACCAAAATGCAAGGCTTCATTTCCTTACTTAACAATGGTTGCGAATTTATTTTTAATAGAATTACAATAAACTAAAAATATTTCATTAAGCTGTATAGTTACATACTTGAATCTCAAAAAGAACATTTTGAAATTAACTATGATGGTATTTACAATTCAAAAAAGTTCCAACTTAAGTTATTTTTTAGTCTGTTTTACAAACATGTTAGTTTCCTAGCTCCGTAACAATAAATAAAGACTTAAACCATTAATATTTTCTGAAGTTTTGATGTTATCACGGTGTCATTATATTCTGTTTAATTGACTATAACTAAGTATCTTTCACAGATAAGAATGTTGGGATTAGGACGAAATATTATATTTTTGGGGATTATATACAAATTTAAATTTTGAAATGCTAGAATTACATAAAAAAAATTTAGAGTCAATTTAGAGAAATAAATTATTTATATCCATTTGCATCGTAAGTTATCTGGTATACTCCTGACTGAAACACCATATATAATAGTCTAATGGGATAATATAATAGTCAATAGATAATAATAGATAATATAATAGTCAATAGATAATAATAGATACAGCCTTTGGGGAAAATTTAATGGTCCATTAACTTGATACGGTAAGCAAACTTGAATATTATTAAAATTAAATTTGAAAAACACCTAAAATAATATTAGTAAAATGACTCAACACAGAAAAGTAAAACTTAGCGAAATATTATGTTAGAAATTAATGATCTGAAAATCATAAGTTTTGAAATTAGATCAATTCTTAAAAAACTAAAAAAAATATTAATGGAAAAATTGTGCTCTCTATGCAGTAGTGCCAAGCCCAATGAAAATGTAAATTTGAAGTTTTAACATTTTTTCTAAATTACTCAATAGATTATTTGATTTTAATTTTTGAGCCAGTCTCTTTCTGTTGTGTCATTTAAATACCATGCATTTGAATTCCATACCTCGAAAAACGATAGAATTGGTTCATCATTATGCTTTAAAAAATTCTGATAATTCGCATATCTTTTCACAAATATATTACATATCATTACGCAAATTTTTCTGTTATTCATATAGTTTTAGAGATATTCAGAGAGCACTGTTGCCATATGACAATTGTTGTCATACTGACATGAATCCTTAAAATTTTTTTCTGAGAAATTTTTTTAAAACAAACCCTAATTTTTTTTAAAAAAATAATAATTAAAAACATGTATTAAGTTTGCATTATACATCAAACAGGTTTTTTCTTGTAGTATTTCATTTTATATGAAATTATTACAAAAATAATAGCCATTTAAGATTGAGCCAGGATAATAGCTATCAGTCCAACTTTTAACAAAAACTAAGATATATTAGACAATCAAACATTTAATTTTTTTAATCAAACAAATTTCTTTTTTAACTTAAGAGGTTTTTTTTGCGTAGAATTATCTTAATTAAAAACATCGAAAATATTTTTCAGGTTTATTTATAAATAAGTTCTGCATGCATTGAGAGTAAATTAACTAAATTAGACAGGCTTCAAAATGAAAGTGAATAGAGACTGAAACATGAGTTAGTTGAAGTTAATTACATGTATTATCAACCAATTACATACTACAAATAAACCTTTTTTAAAAAATGTCATGTCTTAGAAAAACTAAAAAAAAAATTTAGGCAAATAAAAAATTTGTTTTTTAATGTGAAAATTTTGTTTAAAAAGCTATTTTACGTAGAATTTTCTCCTTCTTACAAACATCAAATATGTTTTGCAAGCTTATTTATAAATAAGTTCTGCATACAATGAGAGTAAAATAACAAATTTAGACAGACTTCAAAATGCAAGTGAGCAGAGGCTGAAACATGAGTTATTCGAAATTAACTACACATATTGGCAAACCATTCTGTGCTAAGGATAAACCATAGGAGTGAAAATATAATAACATTCTGTTTGTGACCTTGCTTACTCTACACTAACGAAGGTAAAATGAATCAATATTATACGAGTTTGAAACGGGTGGAGTAATGTTACAGGTAAATATTTAATAATTCAGGATAAACATATTTCCATGAGTACAGAATAATGATGTATGTTTTAATTACGTATTTCTCCTCAAAGTAAACTGCAGAAATATAGCTTTGCATGCTTCTAAAGAGAAGGAATAATCGTTTTTTAAATAAAAAAAGATCCCTAATTATCTAAAGGCTATCTAAAGAAATAAGGTCTGAGACTACGCACGCAAATGTAGGAATTAAATTCACATAAAATTGATTCTATCAGTAACTTTCAAATTGTGCATAAGTTTTAAACAATTTCAACTCATGAGTGTTTTGAAACGTGTAGTAAAATTTTTAGATTTTATATTAATGATGGAAACCGTAAATATATTCATGGAGAAAAATAATTGATAAATTGTCATATTATAAGGACATTTCTGGTAAATAAATAAATAAAAAATAAGTAAATAAAAATAAATTTTAAAAATATACATAATTTCGGTTAATTAAACCAAAATATGCATTATTTAAACAATTAATTTGGTATTGTTTTCATTCATGTGATAACCATTCACCGGAAAATCTGGTTTTTAAAAGTATAGTTGTGTTTACCTCAAATTTAGTATAAAAATCAAAACTTAAACGTAAATACCATTGAATAAATGGTTCTTATACCATACTCTGAAGTATCATGAAAAAGTAACCGATTTTAACACATTTACAAATTTGGTTATAGAGTCAGATCTTTTTGCTAATAGATATACCTGTATAACCATTTCCAATAGATATATAATTTCAAAATATTCTGGCAGTTTTTGACCATATTTTTTTTTCTCAGTGAAAAATATTAAAGGTATAACTTTGAAAAAAAATATGTTATTTATTTTCATTATTTAAAAAAAAAACAATTGAAATATTTAAGGAAATGATAGTTAATTCAGAAAAGAGACAAATATGCATTAAGTAAATCTGCTTATAAATAATGAAAAAAAAACATCTCCGCCAATTTCTTTTTTAATTCCGCGTCTTCGATCAGCACACACAAATCCTTTTTTTATTTTATTATTAATTCATATATAATCTGAACATAACATTTATATAAAATTTAGTTTTTAATATCGTAAACATTTATAATGAATATCGTAGAATAAATATCGTAAACATTAATAAATATAAAAAATGTGATGGTTATAGTATTTTAAGCTGTTTTTAATGAACCGGTTAGCTAAAAGCTTTCAAAATAAGTATATTTTCCAGCTGAAATTAAAATCTTTATTCCCTATTTTTTAAGAAAATAAGTATGGTACGATAATCATTAATTGTAATATAATTTTCAATCAACTTTTAGATGCTTCAAAATATTAATTTAAATTTATGCACGTGAATTTTTATGTTGAATTTATCTGTTTGATAATTTTTGATGGTTGCACAATGGTTGCAATGTGGATATCTATTTTTTCATTCATTAGAAAGTTTCAAAGCATATGTTTTGAAAAGAAAATCTATGCACAGATTTCGCTTCTTTTTAGAGATATATTTTAAAATTTAACTTACTTGTACCATTTATCCTTATGACACCTGATGTGGAACCTATGGAATTCTTGGCTAAACATGTGTATTTTCCAAAGTCCTCCGCTCTCAGTTTATTTATTGTAAGTCTCATGTGCATTTTATAAGTACTTTCTTGAATTGTAGTTATAAAGTGATTTCCTGAGTTTACTAATTGATCATCCTCGTGTCTTGTCCAATAGTTTAGAGATTTTGGAAAAGCTTCTACGAGGCATTCAAGAGTGATATTGTCTCCTATTTTACCTACAAACAGCTGATTAGGAATCCATAACATTGGCGGAACTGAAAAAGTTTGCAACACATGAGTGCTTATAGAGGAATAAAAATTTTAATATTATTATGTATTAATTTTTCTGTAGTAAATAAGGAAAAATGACTACATTTTGGTTTAAACATATATTGACGAAACAGTGTAGAAAATGAGCATCAAATTCGTTACTAATTTACCTTTACTGCATACAATCTGATAAAGTCGTGTATTTTGAAATATTAATAGTAAGTATTAAATAAAAGTATCTATTATTGAGGCTTGGTGGCTCAGAGGACAATGCGTTTGTCTTCCAATGAAATAAACCGGGTTCGAATTTGCACACGTCAGGGATTGGGTACAATGCTGACATAAAATAAACTCAGCTATAGTCCGATCATGAGTAAGAATCCCCATGCTGCCTGGCAAAATAAGGGTGGTGTTCATGATTTCCATCTGCATAGAACGCAAAAGTAGATTAATTCCATCAAAAAGTCGTCCCCAAAGGCTAATTTAATCTAAAAAAGTTCACTTGACTTTTTAAAAAGAATCAAGATTATAAAACTATGGAGTTAAACATTGATAGATGCAAATTCAGTCAACTGCTTAAAGCCAAATATGAAATATTTTAAATCTATGTATTATTATATTTTTGAATTATATTATTACTATTATTGCTTAGAAATAGAGAAACGGATTGCATGCAGCTAAAATCTCATGCAGCTAAAAAGAGGAAATTTTTTCTCTCAGTGTAATGGAGCAAATTTAATTTTTTGGTGAACAAAAAGAAAGCAGGATACTACTAGATTTTTCCCCTTTTTATTGAAATAATTATTGTTCAATAATAGTTTATTATATTTAAAATATAATTTAATATGGTTTAAATTGCGGTTGAAAACCCTCACAAATAGTTTAATCTTTTATATGAGAATATTATATATAAAAATATTGCAGAATTTGAGATTCTCAAAATTACTGCAAAATACGTACAATTTACATATAACTGTGTTCTTCTTGATACAGATGGAGGCACTCCATTGTCTGCTGTGCAAACATATGTTCCCATATGAAGTCGACTTACTTTATTTATTAATAAACGTTCTCCTTCAAATGTGCTTTCTAAAAGACAAAAAAATTAAGTAATTCTTTCAATAACTAAACCTCTATGCAAGCATAGCTGTAAAATTAATGATTGAATATTGAATATTATAAAATACGTAACTAGGTATAAAAATATGCATAGGTGAACCATTTAAATTCATTTAAAAAATTTTTGGTAATGCAAACTTTATGATAATTGATAATTTTTGAAGAGTACACCTTTGTTAATTTGAATACACCCTTATGAATGTCGAAAAACCTAAATTATATTTTCTTTTAAAGTTTTTTTATTCATTTAAAGCAAATAATTATTATAATAATTCAGTCATCGCACTCAAGGAATATATATTTATGATTGATATTTAAAATGTTAATGTTTTTAGTTCATGTTGTGAGTTTTTGTTAGAGTTAAAATTAATTAAAAATTTTTAAAAAAAAGAATTTTCACAACTTATACTTAGAGATTATCAATTTATTATGAAATTTATGTTTAAAGGAGCAATATTTAACTCAAATACATCTTTAAAATTCATAATCCATGCATTTAGGATACAAATATTTTGTGTCAAATTGACATTAGTTTGCTAAACTGATACTGATTTATGTTAAAGTTTTTAATCCTCACGAGTTCTTTGTTTTACGAGGAATGTTAATAAATCGTCTGAAATTTGATAAGCTTCAATAAAAGTCTCGTTTGCCTGGAAGGATATTAATAACGATTACTACGTATATTATTGCGATTTTTGTCGAACATGTGTTCAACAATAATCAAAAATCAAGCATTTGTCTGTGATTAGCAACGACAAATGATCATTTAAAAGATCGTAACCACTGTGACCGCTTTTGAAAGAGTTGAGTTTGAAAAAAAAATTATCATTAACCTTTTGCATTATGGTTACAGTTTGCAAAATAGTTCATTTTTTACATTGCAAATATACAAAAATAGTTGAAAAAGACGCATTCTTATAAAATTATTTCTGAAACCAATAAATGTAATTTAACAAATATTTAAGAGCTCCTTACGTTGAATGATAGGATTAGCTAATCCTGCATCAAAATTTTTTCCGTCCTCCCTATGCCACGTGACTTTTGGTGTAGGATATCCTTTAACAAAACACGTCATTGTGACATTTGTTCCTTCATGAGCTAATACTTCTGTCGTTCGCTCTGAACGAACGAACTGTGGAGGCACTAAAAATTAAGTTTTATTAAAAAAAAATATTACAACAACTGTAATTTCATTATTTTATCAATATAATAAAAAAAATAATGATTGAAATGAATGAAATTCATTTAAGACTGCTTCCAACATAATCAATACATGATAAAATTACATTCTTTTTTTTTTAGAAGTAATATAACTATTTTATATATTCACATTTTGATAGATATATACAGTGAAATCTTCAAGAAAGACGACCTCTATGCAGCGACCTCATCTATTTACAACCACTTTAGGAAGGCAGGGAATTCCTTCCAGAATTTGTGATAAAGGAGGCCTTTAAGAGAGGCTGGTAAGACCTCTCCCAATGAACGGTAAAACCTCTGCACCAAATGCAGAATAGGTAAAATAATGAAACTCAAAAAAATATCAAAACAAGAACTATTAACAGGACAAATAAGTTAATTAAAATGTATTCAAAATATTTGAGTGAGTTTCTCATTTACATTGCTCTTTTTGACAATCTCTGAAAGAGATCTACAACCTCATGTTGCAGGACGAGTACACTAAAAACAATGTTATCAATGATTTATTTTCAGAGTTTATAATTAAATTCGAAAAATAAGTTATTTTAAAAGACAAACATTCCAACAAACAAACTTCTCATTTTTTAAAGCTTACTGATTTTTATGCGATAAAATTAAATGCAATTTTAAAAGAAACATAAATATGTTATTTATTTAAAATAGTTCTATCATTCATAATTGGTAAATTTGGTTTTATTTTTAATTACATCAGAAGGGATCATTTTTATTGAGGTTAAATTTTATTCATCGATCCAGTTTTCACTACGCCAACACAAGTTGCATTTTAGCTCCAAGAAAGAGACAATGAATAAAATTAAAATTTCTAACGAGAAATCATGTATCTTCTATAACATTTTGAGGTCAAGATAACATCTGAGAACGACCAACTTCCATTAACGACCGTTTTACTGTGGAACAGAGAAGTGGTCGCTCCCGAGAGGTTTCACTGTAGTTACAAAATATTTTTTACCTAATTATTAAAAAATAAGTTCCATGTTTTACTTGGGAGAAAAAAACGGTAGAATAATCTTCTCAACTAATCCCAGATTCCCCCTGATTTCACATTTTCCCAAGTCTTATTTTCAGGTACACTTAACTTGAAAGTAATACCAAGAAGCATAAGCGGTAAGTGATAATTGTTAGTGGTAAAACTTCATTAGCTACAAAAACTTAAATAGAAAGAGTTGACATGTTTAGAGTTTTTTTTAAAATCATTCTGAGCACGAATAGTAAGAATAAAACATATTTGAAAAAATAATGAGAAGCAGGAATGGGATAAAATAATAAAAAAATAAAAAATGCAAGGCAGACCAAATTTCCGGTTGGAAGTAAAAGTGATGAAACTCGAATAAAAAATATAGTAGGGAATGGATCAACATTGTCTGAAAGCTGCAATGCAGGCAGGACACATTTCCAGTTGGAACTAAAAGCCATGGAGAAAGAGACGACATTGACAAGGGAATGAGCAATCAAATGAATAAAGCAAGATTCCAAAATATCTAGATGAGTTGGGATGAGAAGAAGGGAAAATGTTCCCGTTGTTGACGTCGAAACAGTTTCTTCTGAAATGTACGCGTCCTGATTTGCCATTTTCGGACTCAGTTACAACTCTTGCTTACCGACGTCTTTCTTGCTCTGTAATTTCACTTTGATATTTTATGATTTTTTTTCACTGACAACATAGTGTTTCTCTTATCAAATATTTCTTGTTTTCACTGTTCACTTATTAATTTGTATTAATAAAGGGCATCTATTTTGAGCCATCTAAAATTTTTCACCATATTTTTTGAAGCTGTATGGCTAAGTACAAATTTAACTTATTTGTGCTTCGAAGTATTTATTTAAAGCTTCTCACGCAAGTTTGTGGTACTTTAGGAAAAATTTTAAATTGTTCTGTCTACCTAAAAACTCCAAAAAAAGCATTACTTATTTAAATCAATAACACATGGAAGATTTTTTCAATTAAAAATATATTAGTATAATCAAACTGTCATTACACATTAAAACATTAGTATAATGCAATGAAAATAAAAATCTTATAATAATAAACAACTCAGATACTATTTTATTTAATGTAAATTAAACTTACTATGTTTTATATTTTCAGGAAAATTTTAGTTTAAGTGCAATTCACCAAAAAAAAATTATTTTAATTGCCAAAAAAATAAAATACTCTGTTTTAAAATATAAAAAAATCCTTTAAAATTAATCGAATTAAGTTGTGAAGCAAAGCACTATTAAAATTGCTCAGTTTTTTCAATATGTTTTCATTTAAAAGTTTAGCAACAATGGCAAACGGCAACAATGACAATATGAAAGTTGACAAATGTGAAATAATGAATAAATATCGTTGTAACTTGTAGGTTCTCAAATATTTAAAATTGACATTTAAAACTAATTTTCAATAAATAAAAATATTTCAGTCGTATTAAAATATATTAAGAGTTCAAATTATGTCTGTAATACGGTAATAAATTAAATTTGAAATAGATATTGTTTTATTTAAATTTATCTTACATTTAACACATTCCAAAGAAAATTTTAGTTTACGCGTTCTTACACCAGGAAACATATATATTTGCCAAAATAATAAAATTGGTCAGTTTCAAAATGAACATCTTTAAAGAACATCTTTAAAGATAAAGCAAATCAAATTTTCAAGCTATTTTTAAAACTACGTAGATTATTCGACAACAATTCTGCAACAAAGACTGAAAAAAGGCTATAATTTATATTTCTTTCTTAATAATTTAGCAACAATGACAAACGAAATATAAAAGTTGACATGCGTTGAGAAACATCTTTTTCAGTAACAAGACATTTTAATCTGAAGTTAAAACTTCGTTCAAGAAAAAGTAAAAGCTTCATGACAATTATTTCCGAAGTAAGTAAAAATATATTTTCCGTTGAAACGAAATCAATAATAAATTGAATAGAAATGTTTATTCTAGCGAAAGAAAAACTATTTTTACAAAGGAATATCTGTAGTGACAGCAATCATTGAAATAAATTGTTCTGTCACAATTAATAAAGCTGCTTTTTACAAGGTAAAATAAACGAGATGTTGGATTTGTGTGCAAGTGGCATAGATGAATAAGCATTGAAGAAAGTACAATGATTGGTAGACACATGAGAAATTAGTGGGAATTTTGACATTTGAAGATAAGTCAAAAGTTTGGAACTAATATTTTTGACATTTAAAGAAAATGATTACAATTAATCATTTTAAGTCGCTAATGAAAAATAATCAAATAAACAATGAAAAATTATCTGAAGATAAATGTAAATTATAATTACAATTTGACATTATTACCTCAACTGAACATGAATATGTACTAATCTTAATTCTACATGTTTTTAGTAAACCAGTTAATTGATCAAAGCATGATTTGTCCTTATATTTAATAACCGATTTCCATTTAATAAACTATTTCGTATATTATTATATTTGTCAGTTGGAAAAGAAATAAAACTTTTTGGAATAGCAGGAAATAAACAAAATGGTGCATGTTATGAAATGTAATAAAGAAAGTTAGACGAATTTCGTTTTATAGTAGTTAATAAGTATATTTTTCTAGAAACTAAAGAAAAAGAAAACTATTTATTAAAACTTAATTCTATGCATTTTTTCTTTGAAATAAATAATATAAATAAGTTATGTTTGCATAAACAAATAAATTGTTATAATGCGCGTGCATACCGATACATACGCTTTAGAAGACCATACGCTTTAGAAGAAATAATTTGCATAAAATATTTCTAAGCGATGAAATTACAAATTAATTAATGAAAGTCATAGTAAATATTTCACCCAAAATGAAATAATAATTAAAAAAATGATTATTTACCACCTCCATCTCTGAAACGTTTGTTCTTTCACCCAAAAAAAATTTTCGCTAATTATTAAAATTTTTCTATCTGAATTGACTATACTCACTTAAAGGATTTGTGCGAAATATTTTAAGCACTAAAATTACAAACTAATAAATAAAAGTTAAAAATATTTTGCGAAAAACAAAAATGCATTTAAAAAGAAAATATATTTACTATATTCCACTTTGAAACTTCCAGAAATATCTCTTGACCAACTAGCTAAATCGCTCGACATAAATTAAATCTCAATTATACGATCCTAAAAATATACTTTAAAGTTCTTAAATTATAAATTAATTAATAAAAGGCATCGATGTTTTGCGCAAATTAGAGCAATAATTACTGAAATATTAATTATTTACTACATTCCTTCCTAAAACCTCAAACCATATCCATAGACCAATTATCTGAAACGTTCTACATAAATTCCCTTATTTCAATAGTGTGATTCTTTTAATATATTTTAAAGTAATCAAAATATAAATTAATAGATAAAATTCATCAATATTTACTGCAAAATAGAATAATAATTTTAAAAAACATTTCTTTTCTGCATTCCTCTCTAAAATATCAAACCTTATTTCCAGTTAATGTCTACCTATTGACTAAAACGTTCAACATTAATTAACTTATCTCAAATATTTAAGTTCCCTAGTTAACCACATGTCAACAAGGCACAGAGAATCCTGACATTCACACCTTTGATTGACGCATAAATGATTACCTATTGCTTTAACACGCACCGACTTGAAAATAGAATGGCTCTGATTTTCAAGCAGCACACGAGAGCTGATTGGTATATATTTACTCGAGAACACACTGTGTAAAGCTTGAACGAATTTCTTGCTCAATAACTATTAAGATATTTCATTAAATATTTATTTTTAACTCGAATACTTTGTAGAAATATAACTGTTTTTTTGCGATTTCTTATAAAATACGTTTTTATGAACATTTTCTAAATGATTCTTAAAATTTTATCTGCTATTTCCGTACCTTCGAGCTTTTTAATAGAAGTTTTAAAGTAGTATTACATATCTTAGCAATTCATAAATTACACTGGAGAACATTTGCTTTTTGTTTTCTGCTGAATGAGATTTTTTAACAGACCTTAGATGCCTTAACGCTTCTAATTTTAAATTTGCATTCAGTTTCTCTCACCAAGCTACAATTTTCTTAAAATGATATTTGGAGTTTATTTTTTGCCGAAATATAAAAGTTTGAAAACATTATATATAAAAAGAGATTGAATTAATCTCGCCACAAGCTTCCTAGTGAGTTAGGCTACATCATCTGGATTATAACTGCATAGAAATCCATGCCCGAAAACGCCATCGTACACTGCTAGGATCGCTTCCCAACAACGAATTGTTTCTTCATCTTTTTCTTAAAGTGCCATCGTCTAGACACTAGACAAGCGCCTAGAAAATGGCATTTCCAGCATGGGTACTTATGCAATTTTAATCTTGAGGATGTGCCTTTTAACTCTACGTGATACCCTGTTGTAAATAACGTTTTTAAATGTGTAAATTTCGACAAAAAAATAGATTAAAAAAGTCCTTTAAAAGTTCTGCAGCTTCAGGAGCAAAACTAGTTTCAGATTTGAAACTTAGAGCCTGATTAAGGAAAGATCATGTATCTTTATAAATGAAACAAAAAAATTGCTCCCCAGAGTTTCCCATGATATTTTATTTTCATTCAGAATAGCATGGAAAAAATCACTCTTTTCACATTAAAGCGTTTTCCAAATAATATTTGTTTTACAAATTTTAGTTAGAGTTTTATAGCTATGGGAGTACTATGCTGCAAAATGCATGCCTTATATATTCTAATGAAAAGTTAGGATTAACAATATTCAAAGTTTTAGGAGAGCGTAAACTCATCTAATATTAATGTATTTTTTAAACTGCAATAACTATTATAAAATATATATTAAGAATTAAGAGCTGATAGCTATTTTTATTCAAGCAGTTCCAATTTATGAAATGTATTACATTAAAAATGAGTGTAAGCTGATTGCAGATAAAAGTTGCCGCATATGCTTATAATCTTACGGAAACTTAGAATCCCTTTTAAACTTATGTATCATGTTATTGCATAGTGAAATAGTATATATTTTATACATCAGTTATTATGTGAAATGTTATTGTTGAATTTCGTCTTATGTAATAAGCACACAGCAATATTTAATAAAAGTTACGAAGAGGCGTCTTGCTTACAATACTTGACTTACTTACTTACTTTACTTACAATCTATGCTTTATATTATGCATATAACTAAATTATTCAGAAAATTAAAAGTACTTTTATACTGTTTAGATATTTTAGATTTTTATCAAATTAGACTGTTCAATTAAAAAAAGAAACTAAACATTAGAAATATAGTGAAAATATCTAATGCCAAACCTCAAAATTTTATAGCTTTTTTTTNCTTTACTTACAATCTATGCTTTATATTATGCATATAACTAAATTATTCAGAAAATTAAAAGTACTTTTATACTGTTTAGATATTTTAGATTTTTATCAAATTAGACTGTTCAATTCAAAAAAGAAACTAAACATTAGAAATATAGTGAAAATATATAATAGAATAAAAGCACATATCTTATTTCCTCAACTGTATTTAAGGAAAACGTTAGTTGGTCAAAACATGCCAAACCTCAAAATTTCATAGCTTTTTTTTTTTAACTAAAATGTATAACGATCGGCATGAATAAAATCTTATCTAGTTGTTTGCCGTCTTTACGCTATTCACCGACAAAACGTATTTATCTAGAAAAGTCTATTTTTCTGACAAGTCAGATATATTTTATTGCTATCATTGGAAAAGTTTTTGTGACATATGTCAGCCTCAGACGACGTGATGAATTTTGTATATATCCCCAGTATCTATAAATTTGAATGTACTGGTCTTTGTGTTTCCTTTACAGTCGATTACTTTGAAAGATTTATCAGACTTTCATTTTAAAAGTGAAATTCTATAAATTAAGGCATGTAATCTATCATTATTTTGAACATGGGTGACCATGTAAATCCATCATTATTTTGTACATAAATATTGCTTTAAGGTTTCTGTTCTCTTAAGGAGTAATATTGAGCACTGATTTTGTTGTGAATTTGGAGGTTCATGCGTGTTCATATGTTTACATTTTTAAGTACTCTCGATCTTAGGTTGGAACGCACATATTCATGTACTGTGCAACAAAAATGGGCCACCCTGCATAATTTTTGATCTAATTATCGGATCTTTACGTTCTAGGACTTAATCCTAATGGTTAGTGCGGGTGACCTCAAATATGCTGAATAGTCACATTTTATTATAGTTAAAAAGTTGAATTTTTAATTTTTTTTTTATTTCTTTGGAATTATTTTACCAATTTCACTAAAACTTTGTATTTTGTCATGCAAAATTACATACTTTAAAATGACGCAAAAAATAACTTACCTTACAATTCAATTTTTTTACTATTATTAATAAAATAATAAAAAAAATAATAAATATTTATTAAAATTAATTTCTTTACTTGGCTATATTTCGTGTATCGCTATATTTGGATAAACAAATTTTATAATTGTTTACAAACATTTTTAATTCGCTTAAACAGTTCTCGAGATACTGCGAATTACGCAAAAATTAAAAGTAACTTTAAGGGGTCCAAATTTCGGATCGCTCTCTAGACCCAACTATGTGGATCATATTTTCCCAGACCTGCCTACTATATTTTGAGGGTCAGAAATCCCAATCCGTCAAAAAAATGTATGTTCACTCTAAGAAAGTTAGTTTTGTGTTAGTTTTCGCCGATTGAATAAATGAAGTGAAATTGTCCTGTTTTGCTTTGTTGTAATTTGTAGGTAAGAAGGAAACACCGTCAATGATAAATCATAGATGAAGAATAGTCTAAATTGCAACCGTAGTAGCAAAATATATGAAAAAGCAGGAGAATATAATGATACAAAAACAACTAGGAATTCGACGACAAATAGAATAAATTCATGTTCATTTTTTCCCCTATCTTGTCGCTGTTTATTTATGAGGATGCTTGTTACCATTTCTATAATAACTATAGGAAAAATATTCTATACTAAATATAATATACTAAATATTACATGCTAAATGCTTTATACCAAACATTGTATACTATACATTATATACCATAAAAAATAACTTAAATATATAATGTGAAATATTTTTGAATAACTTACTTTCTGACTGTCAATAAACTGAACGTTTAATGCCTGTTGTATTTATTGCTTTTAAAGACTAAGCATCTTGTTTCTGGTTCCGGCAATTATTTTTTTAAACATATCTTGTTTAATAATCGAGTTCTTACAATGTTATATTAGACTTTATTTTAATTTTAGTTGATATAAATTTCAAATTTAAATAAAAAAAAATTAACAATTTACACTTTTTTTATAAAGAAGACGACATCTTGTTATAATTACTTCTCAAATGTTATATTAAAAGTGACAAAATCTTCTATTCTAATATGCCTTTAGCAACAATGCATTTAAATTTACTGGATTTAATACTTGAAAATTATTATACATATTATTGAATGCAATTGATTTATTTACTCCAAAATAAATTCAAAATTTTGCATCTTGTCCATTTTTGGATATTCCGTGTCTGCTTATATGCTACACTGAAGAGACAAAAAGACTGGTATACCTGCCTAATATTGTGTAGGGCCCCCGCGAGCACGCAGAAGTGCCGCAACACGACGTGGCATGGATTCGATCAATGTGTGAAGTAGTGCTGGAGATAATTGACACCATGAATCCTGCAGGGCTGTCCATAAACCAGTGGGAGTAAGCGGGGGTGGGGATATCTTCTGAACATCACGCTGCAAGGCATCCCAAATATCCCAGCGATGTCGTAGATTTGTTTTTTTTTTTACCGGATTTCCGATACTTACGGTATATTCGTGAAATTGTCGTACGTGAAAATCCAAATTTCATTGCTATCTCGTAGTTTCTATGTCCCATCTCCCGTGCGCCGACTATGACACCACGTTCAAACTCACTTAAATCTGTATGACCTGGCATTGTAGCAGCAGTAACCGATCTAAGAACTGTACTGGACACTCGCTGCCTTATATACGCGTTGCCAATAGCAGAGCTGTACTTTGATTGGCTCCATACCCCTTTATTTGCATACACATGCCTGTACCAGTTTTTCCTGGCTCTTCAGTGTATATTTCCCATGCTGAAAGTCTTCGCTGAACTGAATTATCTAACGCAAAGATAACTTTGGAGCGTAAAATAACTGAAAAAAAGTTCATAATCACGTCAAAATTATTTTGGCAATAGTATATTTCTTTTCATTTTTCTAGGAGGCTCCAGTTATTAGTTTTTTAGTTATAAAAATGAGAAGTATGTTCGGTAAAGTAGCGGCAGGAATAAAGATGGCGGCATTGCATTTGCACGAAAATTTCATTTTGCAGACTTATCATAATAAATTAAAAACATGCCAAAAAATAATATCGATTTATAATATCTACTAACAACTTACCTACTACTTCTAAATAACCGAGTTGTTTTTTCATGGGAACAGTATTAATTTGACACATATAACTTCCTCTGTCCGATTCTTGAACATTAATGATATGTAAATTCCAATACTGAAGATCTTTGTGTCTTAAAGATATCCTATAGTTCCTTGTGATAACGTGTGTATGAATGGACAATATTGTTTGACTCTCCACTCTTATCCACGCTACCTGCAAAAAAGGTAAGCTACTATTTTCTTCGCTTTGATTAGATAGTAATGCTAATAGGAAACAATATCCCTGTTTAAAATACAATTATTTTTCCTAGAGATTAATTTATGGTAAAGAGAGTAATACAAACATGAAAAATTTACACGTTTATTCAAACAATATGCAATTCGAAGGTTTAGATTATAAAATTTCATTGAAATAGAATACTATGTGTGTACTTAATTCAATTAGTTTTTTTTAAATAAAACATAAAATTTTTTATTATAAACATATAAATTAAAAGCAATATTTTGCTCACTTTTGCAACTTACGAAATATGATATTTGTTTTATAATTGCATAGCTAACAAATTAAGATGTCTTAATAAATTCTAGAAATTGCCGAAATCTTACTCGAATTAAACTCGAAGGTTACAGTTACATTTATTTCTCATAATTATTGAGTTAAATAATACGCAACGCAAATTTTAATCGTAACATAGTTTTGTTATTTTAACAATTACCGTCCTCAGAAAAGATAATATTTCACCAAATTACTTAAATCATTTTTATACTCTGATTCGAAATTATTTTTATATCTTGATTTAGTCGATTGCATTTGTTTGCAATAGGATTATGGCAGTGAATGTGCTTTGCATGAAACCATTTTCAAAAGAGTTCTTTTAAATAATAGTTTGCATGAAAAGTATTTGGTCACTGAAAAATTAATAAATATAGAATTATTTTAAAACTATTTTCTATAAATGTATATTTCTATCTACTTACTCTATATGATCCCAAATTTTCAACTACGCAGCTTAACTCTACTTCCTGACCGACGATAGCTGTAACATTTCCAATTCTATCCACAAAATCAGGTTCAAGATCATCTAAAGATAAAAAGAAAATATTTTTATCAGCATTAATGAAATAATCCAACCATAAAACATAATAGAATTTTAATAAAACTTAATAAAATGCAGAAATTTATTACATAATTTTGCTTTGTCAAAACATTTTTATAATTGTATCTGCAAAATAGGTATGTATTAAGGATGTATGTATTAAGGATATTAGATAATTATTTTATTTTAATAAAATGAACATAAAAACTATATAGCTTGCTCTTTTTCTGTTTTGTTTCAGTTGTTACGAGGAAAATCAAATATATATAAAGCTGTTTCTTTTTCAGTTTAATACCAAAATTTCCTTGTACGTAAAAGCATAGCCGTTTGAAAGGTAAATATTAAGAAACAGAAATTTTCATTGAAGTAAAGAAAAGCAGTAAAAAGAGTTTTCATTCTTCAAAAACTGAAATAAAATCTTTACATAAAAATAATCCTTTTACTTATATTGTATAAATGTGATCCTCAAAAGACAATTTATGCATCTCTGCATTGTTTTATAAATAAAAAAATACGCATTTCCCAGCATAACAGGAAATTAAATATGTGCTATTTCAGGCAATTAGAGGGACTCTAAAAAATACATATTCTTTTATTTCCTCACATGAGTGGATCTTTAATGAGCAGCGGGAGCTGGGTTATCAATTCCAGACTTTGGAAAGACAGTGTAATTAATTGAGTATTAAATCAGCGTATTAGCGTTTTTTCTAAGAACTGAATTAAGTTTTGCCCAGTTCCCACAGGAAACCGCGGGATAAAATAGGATAAATTAGAATTAGGAAAACTGCGCGGACTAGATAATTTGAAAAGAAAATTACCTTTGAATAATTCTTTCAAATTTATATTCCCAGGAAAACCTTATAAATGTTTCCAGCTTAATTAAATTACGATAATACAGTTAGATAGTTATGATTACTAAAATTAGCATTTGCTATGGTGGTATTCTTCATTCAGTACATGAATATTGAGAATTAAAATATACGAAACATTTATGATAATATTTGGAGACTAATAGAGGTTGGTAGAGATATTTAAATATGCATTTTTACATTAGTCAATGCGTTAGATTTTAATAATAAAATTGAATAAACTATTTCAGCTGAATTTTTACTTTGTGCAAAATTTAGGGAATCTGAAACTTTTATGAAACATTTTATACAAAGTTAATGCAAAACTTTGTATTTTAATTTCGTTTAATTCAAATTAAATTTACAGTAGAAATAGTGGGAATTTAAAACTATATATTAATAAAATTTTAAACATTTAAATTTTATATCAGATTTTGAATTAAATCTAGCATTTAATTTAAAATCTGATCCTACGTTTTGGAGATACATTTATTTTTACATTATTTTGAGCATCCTGAAACCTTAGAAATGTCCGATTTTTTGCAATAAACATGACGCGCTAATTTGGATCGTATTACCGTATTTCTAAAACTGGATTCTCGTTTCATTTAGATCAACTTTAATATAAACATGTTTTATTTTGCACCGTTCATCAGGCTGCATGAAACTTTGATTTAAATAATTGTATTTGGCATGGAATTTATTATACTAAGAGTATAGCAAAAAACATATTCTATAATGTCTGATTTTATAATTATATTGATCGAAAATTAATAGTTAAATAATGAAGTGGTAAATCAATTTCAATGAACTCATAAGTCTACTTCATAAATCGACTTCATAAAATTTTCTTGCAAGTTATTACAAATCATGTTTTTTTTTCACAAATTTACTAATTCCCTTGACACTCAGTTGCGTTTTAATTTTACGGTTTGCTAATTACTTATTAAGAGTGAACGATTATTAAGAATGAACTGAACTCGGCAAAAATATATCCCAATATTTTATAGTAAAAAAGTAATATTCAGTATCTTTATCTACAACTATAAAGTTGTCAGTTAAGTTAGATTAATAAGTTTAAAAAAATATATGTGAAAAAATCCCTCAGTTATCCTCAGGATTAAATCTGAGAAAAATGTTAAAACCCGCTTCATACTCACACAAATTAGAAAAACCATCATGACGAATTAAAAAAATGGACCCTTATGAAAATGACGAGAGGAAATACAATAATTAGCTACAATGACATAAATTTAAACTATTTTTAGTATATTTTATAGAACATGCTGAATAGTATTGCAGATGCTATATTTTAAACTTTTGGACGAAAGGTCCTGAGGACTGTATTTAAAGGAGTAAAAATCAGGAGCAATAATGTTTAATTAAAACTATTCAATTCTAAATTATTTAAAGTCTAGAATGAAACAAGCTATAATTCTCTTTACTAAATAAAGTCGACATAAGTGGAGAGCTCAAGTTTTTTGTATGCATGACAGTTGCACCTAGAATCAGAATTTTATGGTGAAATTATCTGAGGAGCTAGAGAAAGAGGAAGATAGGATAGTGTAAAGGAAGACCTAGTCTTTTATGGCATTCAAAATGACTTTCTTATTCTATTCTAGGTATTAAATATTATAGAAAAATTGTGTCAAAAACAGATTTCTGAAGGATTCTCACAAGAAGGTTACCCACACTAGTAGACTATTAAGACAAGGGATGGTGATAATGTAACGTTCTTATCAGGTTGCTGCAAAATAATCCACTATGTTTCTTCTGATGCTTAATAAATAAATTAACCCTAATCCATTTCGCACAACTCCTATATTTTGTCAAGAATAATTTATTACACAAATGCTCATTTAACTTAAGAATTCTGTGTAATACATCTTTTGAAAATTTAAGAAATTATCGATACTGATGATGAGAAAGCATAACGTTATCATGAGCAAAAGATAAGTAAACTAATTTCTGATGTAAACATAAGAGTTTACATAATTTTGACTAAAACTTCAATGTCATTCACAAAATACTTTTTTTCCACATTTTGTCAGACAGTAATTGATAATGCTAAAATGCTTTTAACTTAAGTGTTCTACAGAAATTAATCTTTAAATACTCAAGTAAGAAGAGTGCCAATAAAAATTTTATATAACACTGAGCAACAGATAAACAAACTTTTTCTGTTGTAACTATCCGAGATAACATAATATTGACCGAAAATGTAATATAGATCGAAAAATACTTTGTGATGAAGAAATTTTCCCTGCGTCAAACTATAAGTTGCGTGACGAAATATATGAGATTTCTGTCAGATCAATTCCTTTTATAAGGAAAAATTGATTTTAAGTGTATGTGAGAAACGTATATATTTTTTAAATAAGAACTAGTTTTCAATGAGTAGGATTTTATTCCCATCGCATAGAATTAGGGATAAAAATTTAGTTTGAATAGCTGAAATAACCTAATTATATATGCATGAAAGAAATTTATATTGCAATGATATATCTTAGCTTGTACAACTTTTGTAATTTAATTTTAAGTTCTAAGAAGATAAAAATAATTAGAGTTAGACTATTTTTCACACTTTAGAGAAATGTAAACATTGAAATTATTTTTCATTAAGACCAGTTAATCTGAAACTGTGCTCTCGTAGCTTGAGAATTCGTTGTATTTTCTTAGAATAAAAGTTCGTGTGAAAAAAAGGGAAAAAATAACATCGTCTAAAACATACGATGAATGAAATAATTATATGACAACTTTGCAAGTTGACATTATTTTGTTATCATAGAAGTTTACGTTATTTGAAGTTCTTTAAATTTCTTTTTGCAAGGTGCAGGCATTAATTTAACGACATAAAATAAATTGTAAAATAATTTTTTAAGTACACGAGAAAAAAAATAAGAAATCATTGAAGTCAACTTGCCAAACCCATATTTTTTACATAAAATTGACCTATTTAAAGCATTTATGAAGTAAGTGTTTTTTTATTAAAGGCTGAATCAACTTTTTATTACTAACTATTTATAACTTTGGTAAAGTAGAACAATTTAATGATTAGCAAAATTTTTCAGAGTTCACATAAGCTTTTTAGTTGAGTTCTACATGAAGATATTAAAATGCTCAGGTTGTTGTGAAGAGGACCTAGAAACTAATAAATTTGGCATATTTTTCTTAACCTAAAAAATAATAATTCCTATCTTGAAATAATACCATAAAATAAATTACTTTAAAAAGTGCCCCCTTAATAAAAAAAATTTCATTTTTATTTTATTGACTCAAGGATTACAATTAGTTGATGTTATGTTATGTTTTTCTGAAATCTGAAGCCTTTAAAAATAATAATTCTTAGCTCAAAATAAAACTTTAAAATAAATTCCCTTACAATGTCAAAAATGCCATAAAAAGTCTGTATTTTTATTTCATTTTTCTAAGGATTACAATTAATATAATGCATTTGAGGAAGAAATATGTATCACTAATTTTTTTGTATACATCAAGAAAAGCTTTTAGAAATTTAATGATGTGTGTCTTAGTAAAAAAATATATAGTTTATGAAAAATAAACTAAAATTTTCTGAAAACTAGTATTTTTTTAGCTTTTAGACCAGTAAAACACAAAAAAAATTATAACGTACCTTTCTACAATCTTGGGTTTGTTGGTAAAGGAAACCGAATTGTTGAAAGAGATAAAATATTTTATAAAGAAACGATATCATATTTTTTCCCTGATCACATGAAGCATACACAGTTCTTTTTATTTATTTTTGCTAACTTAGCGAATATAGGATTCAATTTGAGAAATACTGAATGCATTTTTCAAGTGAATTCTTTCTTTGTAAAATTCCAAACGTATTGTGAATTTTTCTTACCGAATCGACTAAAAAATTTACATTTTTTTAAATAAATTTTGAAAATAAATATTGAGTAAGTCTTTTCATATGGTTATTGTTTTTCCAAAATAGTTGAGATTAACTTTATACAATTCGACTTACACTTTATAAAATTTTTCTAGAATTAACTTTTTAAAATCTTTTGCGACCAAGCTTTCTTTAAATAAACATTTAAAAAGCATATAATGCATTTTACTAAGAATAAGTGATCCTTTAATTACAAATAATTAAAATTTTTAAACGCAAAA